TTTTTGACAAGCATATGTGTAATATAGGTTGAATGAAGTGTCAATGAACAAGCCTATGTCTAACGAAATAAATTTCTATTTCAATGATATGACTTAATGTGAATAAGGTCAATTGTATCAAGTAACCATTATGTATTTACAATATCGTATTTAAATCTGTTAAGTTAAACTGTACATTCACTTATCAAATGTCTAAATGACATTTATCACTGTATCGAATTTTTGCAATGCAGTGATAAATCTCATAAGAAAAATTATTATTACATTTCGTATGTTCCATTATTATTATTATCATTATTATTATTATTATTATTATTATTATTATTATTATTAATGACTTGTTAGACATGTAAGTCTTCATTATATGACGTTGTTTTCTGTACGGAATCGTTTACTGAAACCGTAAATTTGAAAAACTTGAAAAGCTGTTGGCAAGGTAATTAATTGAGCGATGATAATTATTAATCTACAGCTTAATTACTATGGAATTGTGAAGACCGATCAGTGTCTGTTCACTTGACCTGAGCAATAGAAATTATCTTGTTGTACTAGTGAACTGATCTTACTACATTTCTCTACTGTACCTAGTAACCAAATCATATGAATGTAAAATGGATTATTGATGGTTTCATGACTCCTACTTAAAATGGGAACAAGAAATTCAAACAAAATTTAAATCAAATTGTGGGTGGCCCTGAAAAGGGCCTTTACTTGGTCTCTACACAGCTCCTTCGGTCCTGATCGATGACTCCACTATGAGTCCGTGACAGCACCGCACATGGGACAGTTGAACCCAGGTGATACTTCTGTTGGGTCGTAGGCACAGAACGAATGAAACATAGCGTTGCATGGACAAAAAATCCAAGCACCTCCATCAGCTAGTTCACTGGGCGGCTGACAAAGATGGCAAATATCACACAGTCGGTCATTGTGCACACGTCCGTCTTCTTCATTGTCTCGGTCCGTAAACTCTTCTGAGTTCATAGATATTACTTTAATCTCGTCATCATTTAAGGTAGCATCCAAATCTACGTTCTGTTGACGGTTGGTGCCTGTGGTATTTCGGACGACGAGCATTGTGATGGTAGTAGGTAATCCATCGTTAAGCAACTGATGAGCATAGTTAAGTAGAGCGGTATGCTGTTCAGCAGACATACGCCAACACAAGTAGTGAATCGATGTTTGGACGTTTGTCTGCCCGACTTGTACCGGTAACTCATTGCCAATCGTTACTGTGGTTACGTAGCTGTTGGAATGCTGTCACCAATGCTTTCTCTGTGAACTTCGACATTATCGTGCGAACAATATGCCAAGATGTGACGACATACGACTCTGTGTTCTACATAAAAGAAACAGGAACAACTAATAGGATTTTTGGAGACTGTGTAAGTTCCTGTAGTATCAACGGCCGTGAAAAACTCCCCCGACAATACGTAGTCAGTAACAGGAACACGCATGTGCCGCTTAAGCAGTTGACATGCAGCAGGTGTAAGTGTTTCCTGAAGACGACGTAGTTGAGGCTCGCGACCCAGCACAGCCCTGCTACGGCATTCAGTGGAGTACTTTTGAACTCTAGCTTCTATCCAATATCCAGTGCGAAGCAGAACACTAAATATCGATCTGAACACGGGTGTTTTTCTGTTCAGCTTATGCAACTTTAAAATTCGATGGGTCGTCTCAACGAAATTTGTATTGCTTTGATCTAGAAGCATTGCAGCTGGTCTAAAAGCATTCGACCACCTGTGCTTTTTGGACAATAACTGATCTCTCAAATATTGATAGAAATTCCCGTCTGCTGCTTCGATAAATGACACATACCGTTGGAAGCTACAATACATTGTAAAGCATATTTCGATTTACCTTTCCACATTTCTTGTTAGCATAAGACGGTAGAACATTTGAAGAAGATCAGATCGTAGCCTCTACGAATGCGATGAATGGGTTAATTGTTAAGAGAGGAAAGCTTACCCTCTTGATGACATTTCGAAGAAGGTGCACGCGGCACAAAAGGTGGTGTGAATTGGGATACACCTGCGTTATGGCAGCAGCTATAGCAGGTGAATCATCGGTAACAATACCGATAACCTCTCCATTGTTACTCATTTGGCGGAAGAACGAGAGGAAACTGGACAGCAAAGTCGATGTTTCGCGACTTATAAATGCAATACAAACAGGTATTGCCATGAAATTCATGTCCAGAGCCACCACGTGATAAAGAAGCATGTTTTCATTATTGGTTTTGTATGTCCCATCAAAACCAACAACATCTAAAAACCTGTTACACAGATTGATCTGGTCTGCTGTGGCGAAGAAGAAGTACAACAGACTATGATCTGCATCCAATTGATAATCACAAAGGCCACCAAGTGACGTGATTTTTCAACTTACCGTAATCACCTACAGTTAATAGTATAAATATGCACATTGCTTACCAGGAAGGTTGGTCTGTGAGAACACTTTGTAACGCATATTGAAAACATCTTGAGCTGTAAGACGTTTCCCATATGATTGGTACGCGTAGTGTATCACATTAAATGCTGATGTTCCAGATATCAGCAGTGGCTTCACTGATTCCAATTCCGCCGCCGTTAATCGGCGCATCCATGTGTTACAGTCGTACCTCAGGGAATTGCACTCGTGATTGTGATGCACATTCCCACGAACAACAGTCCAATAACCTTCAAGAAACTTACAAATGATGAAGGCCGGACATTGTGTGTCCATTGAAGTCCTCAATGAACAATATAATAACACTAATCAAATTACCTCCTTCGTCTAATCGGCTGCGAAGAACCGCTTGGTGTTTTATAGCTCTTTCTCCAACATACAAATTTAATATACGGCTTCCGATCTCCATGGAAATGAGAATCTCTCACCACATAGTGGCAGTACTTTGCTATTTCATAAGTTCTAATGGCGCTCCTTAACGCTTCCAATGATGGAAACGCTACCAGATACAATGTATTCAGAAATGCATTTTCCGTTTCTGTGACTACGTGAGGAACATCAGAGCCTCTAATTTGCACGTTACTGACGTCCATATTGTGAAGAAAATTATCTATATCGATAAGTACAGAGCTTTTATACGAATTTCAAGAATTAGATAACCAATTATAACGCATTTACAACTAGGAATTTCATTGGACGAAACGGATTGAAAAAAATTGGAAAATGGGATGAAAATTTTTTGATTAAGGGGGACAAAAAAAATTTATTAAAAAAAAAATCGACGTGATCTTAATGTTATTCGTTAGTGAATGTCATGCTGAATAAGAAATTTTGACCTTATCTTCAAAACTGTATTTACACGAATAACATGTTGCTTGTATGTTACTGACGAGAAAGCAGGAAATGGTACTATCTCACAAAATTTGTTTTCTCATTTCTCTGTTCAAATTTATCAAAGGGAACCACTGTTTTGAATATTAATATTGTTAAGTCTTCTACTTGATTAACGCAGAATACGATATGTATGTGAATTCACTCAATTGTATAGAACGCCCCAGTGGCAAATCAGAAGACAGAAGAAGCAGAAGTGATTATGGGGTAACAGTCAAAAATGTGCAATAAAACATGTGTATTTTATAAGAACTCTCGTCTAAATTAGAGCGAATAGTTTCACAGTATTTATGATTGTTAGTGTTGGCTATAACATCGTTATAATTCAACCATTCCTCAAAGAGGAAATTTATACTACCGTCAGATCGTAGCATTCCACGTTAATATTCTAGAAAGCCTCATCAGGTTCTGATTGGGTGTAAACTCTTCGTCTTCTTTAGGGCCACTAGAGGCTCCATAGTGCTTCCCGGAAGTCGTTCCAATAAATAGAAATAGTGAATACTTTAATAAAATATATTTCTCCCATAGATATTAAGAGTAGAGAACGTCTTACAGTTGTAGGCGGATAAACGATGAAGATGAAAAATGTGGCGAAATAATAATTCGGTTAACCGATCCTTGTTGAACACGTTTGAATGTTTCCATTTGATTGCCTTTAATCAATATCACTACCTAATTTCGACCTAATAATTTCAAATAAATTAAGCAATGAATGAAGTGTTTAGAATAAAGTGTAATTTAGATTTGGAATAATACTCTGTGAAAGTCTCTAGCACTGAGCCTCATGACTTGAGCTTCATCCCTAGTCAACTAAATCCATCCTCCGATCGTCGTGACCACCGAAACTTTAAAAACAATCCACATCGATTATTTTTGAAAAGACGACTTACATCAAGTTGTGAAACGTTAAAAACACACTTCTGTAGTAATTGATATGTTACAAATAGATCATATTATTATAATTATCATGAATTAAGTGAATACATCTTGCCACTTATATAATCTCAATTAATATTCTACTTACCTCAGAATGCCTCAATCTTGTTTTCATTTATTGGGGCCTACAGATATTTAGCTCAATTTTATAAAAGCATATGAAACATTTTAACCTAAAGATGTAGAGTCACATCTATTTTGCAAGGATTATGATATTTCTGGTCACTAGATTGCCCCTTGACTCGTCGGAGAACTGAACTGTTTTTCTTGTCAACCCTCATTCATCAAGTCGTTATTTTGTTGCAAAGTAATTTGATGGTAAGATTAATTAAATTTTAGAGTGTAATGTGGAAGAGGATGTTAATGAGGGCTTGCGTCAATATCCGTTGGACTAGTAGTCGTTATAGTTTTAAAAGTGAATTTCTGTGTCGTTTCCCTAGTTTCAGTGATCACGTTTATACGAAGTTGAATCGATTGGAATAGGGGATGAAGTACGAGGAAGGCTTGAATCCCCCCAACGCTAGAGACTTTCAAAAAGCAGTAAAATAGATCATACAAGAAGTACTCTTTTATATGTGGCGCATAATGTAGTACCACAGCTTTTGAAGGCCGAATTAACTAAAGCTGTTTTGGAGTTTCAAACCAGCTAATTATATATATATATATATATATATATATATATATATATATATATATATATATATATATATCAATGTTTTTTTTAGGTGAGTTAAAGAATCCTTCTCGTTCAATCCCTTTGGGAACTCTATCTGCTCTACTTTGCACATTGTTAATTTATCTCGTTATGATGATATTCTCAGCTGCTTCTAACAGCCGGTAAGCAAATGTCTCATACACTAGCTATCAGTTTTTTTCTTAATTTACTATATTTTTTATGCATTTCATCGTCACGCACATAGAACTGTTTATTAGTACTTAAATTTTAGAAAGCAATGTATGAACTATAAGGCACCTGATCAATACTAAGTGTGTTTTTTTCTAGATTCTTAAAACATCTTTAAGAAGTGTATCCAGCTAACCACATTTGTATCTCGTGAGAAAACGTGGCTATCTGCTTTTTACGAATAAGTTACAACCGTAAACAATGAAATCCGAGAACTTATTCAATGATCATCTTGGCGACCGATTGGACTGTATTTTTATACATTGGGCGTTTTGTCACAACTCATAATTTCTGGTTATTTAGGTCATTTATTACGTCATAATACAATTTAGAGTCGTGAATAACACCTTTTTTGAACTCAAAACACTACTTCCTTTTAAAAAAGATTAACTTGTCGAAATAAAGAAAGGGGGTAATGTTACTTTGATTACTGACATCAGCTCATACAAAATTAACATCTCTGTCGTTGTAAATTGATCATATTGTGGTTTAAAATAAGATTCATTGTGCATTCATCTTAAGTTTTATTGCGTTAGGTTTTAAGTTATCAGTTCAATGTAAGTTGCAGTCAACTTAAATAACCTTATACGCTTCATGGTGATTGCTGGACAGATGTATGTATATATATATATATATATATATATATATATATATATATATATATATATATATATATATATATAATGTAAACACGTATTTCCAATTACAGAATATTTCTATTCAAAGTGTACCTTTCGATATCATATACTCTGCTCATAATTTTCAGATATAGCACCGTGATTATTTCTGATCTGAAACAACTGACTTCATAGTTAAAAAGTTATATTTTTGCATTATTCCTTTTTTTAAATATTGTGTTGAACTACTAATGAGTAATTACAACATAGTGAACGAGAACACAGGCTAGGACAACCGTATAGTAAAAATATCCAAAATATCCATCATTCGTTTAAGACTTTGTTCCTTCATCTCCATACCAATCACTCTCTGTTCTAGTTATCTTCTCTTCGATATTTTCAACCTTCTGCCTCTAGGTATTCCATTTTCGGTTGGTGATACATACTATTTATATCCGTCGACATCGGTAGCGCATACCACACAAGGAATACATAATAATATTTTGGGGAACCAAGATATATGTGAATATTTTCATAAATTTTCGAGTATTATGATTCATTTTGTAAACTGTTGACTTTCTCAATGTGATTCTGATCGATAAAAACAATCATGGTTTAGGAATCTGTCTATGTAATCAGTAATTTCTGTTATTACTGATCATATATCATGTTGTTATAACTAAACAAGGACAATAATTTTTTTTTCGATAATGCAATGAGAAGACGAAGTTTATCGGAATTATGTGATATATTAGCGCAATACATTTCGAACAATCTGATCACACATATACTTGTTAAGACATTTTTTATATGAAAATTAAAAGGTCAACTAGACAGGTTAAGGTAAGAAAATAAATAAAGTACACAAAAATAATGTGATGACTACTCTGGATAATAAATAAGCATTACCAGGGTAGGTTAAGGGTAAGAACAAATTGTTTTTGAACACATAAAGGGGGTTTCAATTTCCGTGGCTATACGGAAATTGCATTATCGAAATTTATCAAAGGGACTAATTGTTTTAAATTTTTTTTCACTGACTACAATGAATTTCTTAGAGTTTATTGCTTTCTCTTCATCTCCCTAAAAAAGTAGTAAGTGTAGTTAGTTTAAATTACTACCATGTTCATTAATATAAGAGTTTAAATATTCAATAATCAATAATTATATTATTTGTAGTCAGGTGAAAATTGAACTTTTAACAGTCTTTTTTCTACAATTTTCCGCCAGTCTACGTAATGATTCTCTATCTCTCTGTTAAGTACTGCAATGTCATAATATTAAGCAAGAATATTTTATTTCATCCGTTTAAAGTGTATCTAAGTTCGATCAAAGGTAAATGCTATAATTTTTTATCAATAGTTTTCTAGACAAAAGTTCCGTAAACATACTATTTGTTTTTCTTTAAATTTAAAGATACAACTTTGATTATTTGAATGATTTGTGGATATTTCTAGCATTTCTTTTTACTTATTTGATTTTGTGTCTTTTTTTCCATTATGTTATAGATATCTGCTATTAAATAACAATATTTTTATGCAATCAATTAGTTTTTGGCAACCAATCGTTGTAATAGGTGTTTTTGCTACTACATTATCAGCAGCTTTAGGAAATCTTATTGGAGCTTCACGTATATTGGAAGCGATAGCTCGTGATGAATTATTTGGTAATTTTGACTAATTCATGACCTTTTATATTGTAATATTCAATTAAATATTATTGTATTTGAATACTATTATCTTTTGAATGGTTAAGAATATTGTGTAATATTCTTGTGTTCTTCATGAAGAATATTATTTTATTTGTATTTATTTCTAATACGAGTATTTCGCATTTGTGGATGTCGAATGTTTACCGTTCTTAAGATTCACTAATTCAGAATTTTTAATTATATTGAGTTGTTTGCTAGAGTCCTTGGAACTAATCGTTCTTTCTTAGTCCCTTTACAATAATCTGGCTTCATTTTTTTAATCTTAATGTTTATATCTAAATTCATTTGATTTTAGAATATTATCTCGATATAGGCAATGAGATGAATTTTCACCTTTTATTTTTCTTGAAATCTGTTTGTTTCCTTTCGATCTTTGAGGAATCATTTTTATTCTCAATGATTTTTGTAGTTAACTTGGAAAATAGGATTAATTTAGTCATAATGTAAATCAAGATGGTGAAAAAATTCAGTATTAATTGTTAAATAAGTGAAATAGTTTCGTATTTTCAGTAAATAAATTGTTAATTCATCATTGGCATGAGATAATGTTAAGTTAGTTGATAGATGAAGAGTGAGAGACCAGAAGAGTAAACCGGTTAGTCTGACTCAATGTTATGCTTGTGACCGAGTGGATGTCTAGTTGATGTGTGGCTCGATAGAACCGCCAAACAGGGAGCAGCGGATTATCGGTTGGAACAGAGACACGCGAAACCCGTACGAGCAGACTAGATTGCTAACCGGTCCTGCGATCTGCCTAGCCCAGCCAATTAAGTCCAAAACACCAATAACAGCCTCAGTGGTATGAATCATTGTTTACAAACATACTGGGTTTTTATACAAACCAAAGTAATCAATAAACTGATTATAACTCAAGAATCGTATGATAATAAATCAAAGATCAAAATAAAGCTAATGATAAGAGAAACACAAATATGAATAGTTTAGTTACGTAACAATTGTACAATATTAAATAGGCATAATACATTGGTCGATAAATAGTCCTTAGAGTTACCATTCATAATTCACCAGGGGATATAACACTCAACATAATCTTAGTCCTGTGAAATTGAATCAAAGCTACTAATCGACTGTAATCAAACAAAGATGGAAAACACTTGTTTGGTTTTTGCTAACTTACTTTTCTCTATCATATGAGTTTTCTAATCGTGTATGAGAGTGCAGTGATAGCAGTGACTATAGAAGATTGATGTGTGATAAAGTATTTCAAAAACGATTCTCATGTTATGTTCATTTCACATATTATCCCATAGTTTTTCTTCACAGCTATTGATAAATGTTTAGATGGAATGTCGAAATGATTAAAGGACTTAATTCTTAACCATAGTGCCATAGGTCGGATCCTCGTTTCGGCAAACTGTGTAATATTTTTCGTTTTTGCATATGAAGCGCAGCTCAAATTCTAGTACACAAATCTGTACAGATGAATAAAACATACGTACAATGTTAGGATCGACATCCGTCATGTTCTAAAGCTTTATGAAGATTTTAAACAAAATAAACTTCACAGTTTAGTATCTTATATTAATTCATGCTAGCTAATTGTTTTTATCATAAAAAAATGCCAACAATTCGTATGAGTTTAACCCTATCAACTGAAACAATTGTTTGTGTTTAATTTTCCTCTCTGTAGGAATTTCAACTTTTCTATTTCATCTTATATATAGTCAGGGAAATTTTTGATGTTGGTTTGTTCTCTGAGCTGGGTGGTTTGGTCGTGGAGCTTTCATCGTCCTTCTGAACGACATCATCAGCACAAACTTCGGGTAGAAGTGAAGTGTTTGAATTTCTCCACATGTGATTCACAGCTTGTTCTCTGCACCTCGATGTTTATTGGTTCTTATTGACCTTAAATCTGTCATTGTTTATTTCTTTGTTTTGGTTGTATCTCCTATTGGTTTGATTTTTGTTTCTATCTTCCTGCATAATTTTCTTGATTGGTTGATAGATTGGATTGATTTCAATATGTTTGTTTATTGCTGATGAAAGCTCCACGACCGAACCACCCAGCTCAGAGAACAAACCAACATCAAAATCACCCACCTGAGCTACAAATCTTCTCCACCATCTCAAGTCAGTGAAATCTTAATAAATCGTTGCAAATATTAAATCTTATCAATAATATATTGTTATCAGGAGGGGTTTTGTGGAGATTTAGTATTTTCATAGTTGAAAGCGTGAGTCAATTGATACATCTAGCTTCAATTGACTCACGCTTTCAACTATGGAAATAATATATTGTTTTATTACTCGTTTATTTATGTTTTCATTTAACTGCTATCTCTTGAGGTCATGTTCATGTATGTTGTTTCAACTATCTTCATGATTATATATCGCACTCTGTATTGTTTTGTAACAATAGCCCTTATTTTAATGCCCTTTTTTTCAAGAGTATTTTAATATATTTTGAAAATTAATATTTCCTTCAAGATTTCAAAATCCAAATGTCAGTCAGACAATACATTACCACATAATAAATGCCTATTATATAGTATAGTAATTGACTTTTTGCTTTGAATAGGTCGACTTCTTCGTCCAGCAAAATGGACCACAAAACGTGGAAATCCGATAGTTGCAGTCCTTTCTGCTGGGTTTCTTTGTTTGGTGAGTTGGTTGATTATTATGCACTTTATTTACTTAGTAATTGTTGAAAGTGGAAGTTTATTATTATTTGTAATTATAAGGTACTAGTTGTTTTCTTCTGAATTTCTAGAATTTTTTTACTATACTCTGGCTTATATTATTCGTTTACTCTTTCTACAAAGTGTATTCTAAATCTGTTTGTTTTAAGCTTTACAAAACTTTGTAACACATGGGTTAAGTTTCGAAAGTTTTTACGATATTACGATTATATCAATAACTCCAAATGGTAGGTAATTGAGATTAATTTTTTCCAGAATCTTAATACTTATTATACTTATAAGAAATAGATATTTTCGTAAACAATGCTCTGTCACCAGTAATTTTATTCATGGAAACCAAGTGTGTACTTTACAGACACTTATTGGAATAATTTCTCTTCAAATGCGGAGTACATAAAAAATGTTAGCTTCTTATATTCCTTTTCTTTCAATCATTGAACTGCACGTAATCTATTGAGTTCTGACTGACGTTTTATTTTTTTCCTGGTAGTTTTTTTCTTATTTCATATTATTGATTGCCGTTACTTGATTAATTAAGGTTCTCTATTTGGTTTTATTAGAGCCTAGTTGGGCATGAATATATTAATAACATACTCTGTATAGAGCCCAGTAACTCTACCTCAAATATGTAAAGAAATATTGGTCTTTAATGGTTGGGACTCAGTTTTGGACTATCTATTCAGAAACAATACTTTTGAATTGGGTATTTATATAAAAAAGGATAAGCAACATTAAAAACAATGAGAGGGCTATGTTGGTAAATGGTATCAGTTGTACATATATAGTATTTTATTGGCAGCCATTTGTAAACATCAAAGTAGATTTCGAAAAATAATTATTTACTTCTTCATACTGTAAAAATTAAAACTGAAACTAAGCGAATATGATTTTTGTAAAAAAAAACTCATCATTACAAGAAATGTACAACAATATAATGTGAATTTCCTATTTCTTTTTTAATATATTTTTGATAACTTCAAGCCTTAATATTGGTTAAAAATGTTAGAATCACCTTTAAAGTTCCCTTAAACTAATACAGGTGACCATAATGGAAGTTCTAATAAATATATCACATAAATTATGTTTTGAGCTACTTCAACAAAACGAATAAAGCAATTAGTCCTTTTGATAAATTTGGTTAGTGTCATAAGAAGACGAAGATTATCAGAGCTATGTGATGTATTAGTGCTGGTTAATAAAGTAATATTATCAGGGTAGTTTTAAGTGAGAACAAACTGTTTTTGAATAAATAAGGGGGTTTCGAATTTTCGTTTGGCAAAGGCTTTAATAAACACCCTTTGACACTTTTGTACAAAAGCCAAGTTAACACCAATCTTATGACCTGTTATATGTTTGTCGATAGAGTATGGGATCAATTTGTTCGAAATGTATTGTACTAATAGATCACATCGTTCTGACAATCCTCATTTTCTTATTACACTATCCAAAAATAAATAAAGCTTCCTACTTAGTACCTTTCATGTTAATTTACAAATAATTTAAAATAGCTTACTTTCTTAATTGCTTTAATAACACTCAATTTTCCACTTATGGATGATATGAAATTTGGTTTCTTATTATTATTCACTTGATTATTTCTTGTAAATTTTATCAGAAATCAATTATGATAAACATTTGTTCTTGTTTTTTGTTTGGTGAAAATATAGCTAATTTTACTGATTGGTAGATTAAATGCTATCGCTCCACTTGTATCTGTTCTATTTTTACTGGCTTATGCTTCAGTGAATTTGGCCTGTGCTGGTTTAGATGCTGCCTCACCACCAAACTTCAGGTTAATCTGTTAAAGTATAATGTTCTGTTTGCATCTTATTGTTGGTTTCAAACTCACTTTATGTTAATCGTTGCATTTATGATTTGTAGCTTAGACTTAAACTTTATTTTCTCAAAATAACCGATGTCATTAATAGTTTCCCCCGATATTTCATGTTCATTAAATTGACAAGATACCATACAATATACTTTTGATAGTTTTAGCTCATTTTGCTTGTAACTCATTTATCAAGTACAAATTATGTATTCAAACTTGCGAAAATTCACTTATAGCTTAATGGATACTACATGGTGCTCTGTAATAAAATAGGATTCTAACCTACGAAGTAAACTCAATTAGTTTCTTGGTCTCGTTGTACACATTTATCGATAAGTTTTTCTTTTCAGATCTATGGTTGTCTTTAAATTACAAGTTTTTACAACTCATTCACAAAATACAAGTTGGTTTACTTACAGTCACAATTCAGATGTGAGAATGAAAGATACTACCCAATTGCCCAAACTAAAGTAGATGAAAGGTGCTTTGAATGTGTCAGCTATTTGTCAAAAGCCTAATATTGTAATCCTTGAGTCACGTCTAAACATTTGTTGATTCAAAATTCTCTTAGTTGAAATCATGAGTCAATTGAAGCTAGACCACCATCAAAAACCTGGAAGCACTGGACGGCCGTTTCGTGGGACTCCTTGGAAGTGCGCATCCACGATCCCGCCTCGCGAGCATGATTCGAACCCAGGATCTACCAGTCTCGAGCCAGAGCCCTTAATCGATAGACCACTGAGCTGGCATCCAACGGTGTTAATGTCTGACTTCAACCAATCCACGATTTTGAGCGAACATTCACCAATTGTCTTCAGTGAGTTGATATCTCTACAACAGACTTGGTAGAACTCCACTTGCCAACGCTTCCCACTAGGACTCAAAGAAATATCACTTGAAGTCAGTCACTAGTGAGCATATAATTATAGATCAGAGGGGGTTTTGTGGAGAATTTAGTATTTTCATGGTTGAAATCATGAGTCAATTGAAGCTAGACCACCATTCAAAATTCAAGATACTTTTTAATTAATCACGATCAAAGTTTCTTTTTACTGTGACATTGGCATAGCGCGTCGTGGTAATCGGTGTTCAGGCACAATTAACATCTAGCCTAACCATCTCAGTCGATGGTGATGTAAAACCTCATCAACTGGTTTACCATCAGTTCCTGATACCCTGCGTCCAACCTCACTGTTACTTACCCGGTGATCCCAGAAGATGTTGGCATAATTTCTAAGACATCTGTGGTCAAATACTAACAGCTTACGAGTATCTTTTACTCTTAGTGGCCACGTTTCGCAGCCGTAAATTGGAACAAAGTAAACGGTTGCGCAATATACTCATGCCTTAATTGATAGACAGATATCTCGCCTCCTCCGTAGGTGACGTGAATTGGCGAAAGCCAAACGAGCTTTCTGAATCCGTGCAGAGATTTCATCAGACATCAACCCATTAGGACTGATCAGACTTCTAAGTCGATAAGTGGACCTCCTGGTAGGAGATCACTTCCTGAAAATTCAGTCGATTAGAGTGTTATTTCCAGCAATAGGTCTATAATGAATTTAAACAAAAATGGAGATAGTGGATAACCTTGTCGGACACCACTTGAGGTTGTAAAGGCAGACGACAGTTCACCATAAGCTCTAACTCGACTGGTAGTGTTCGAGTAAATAGCCTTCACAAGGTTTATGTACTTCTGAGGTACACCTTTCAATGACAGACACTGCCACAGAGCCTCTCGGTCTACAGAGTCAAATGCATTCAAGTCAAGAAAAATCATTGTCGGACGCCAATAAGCATGCTTGTGTTCTAAAACCTGACGAATAGTGAATAAATGTCGATGCAGGCATCACTAGGTCTGGAGCCAGCCTGATTTTCTCGTGTTTGCAGTTCATGAGTCTTTGTTAGGCGTCCGATAATTACTGAGGCTAGTATTTTAGATGCTATATTAGTTAATGTAATCCCTCTGTGGTTATCACAGAATTAATTTCACCCCTTCTTATATATTGGAGCAATCAACGATTGTGACCAGTCAGATAGGATTACGTCCATCTCCCAGATTTTAGCCAAAGTATTAGTCAACGTAATCGTTAAAACTGGACCACCATGCTTTAAGAACTCTGGAGCCAATCCATCTGGACCAGCTGCTCTTCCTCGTTTCAGATTAGCTATAGCTTTTCGAACTTCAATTATGTCATTCTATAATGCCGATTTCGAAACACTGAATATAGATTGTAGTATTGGTATAATGTTTATTCATTTTATTTGTTACCTGCAAAAATAAGGTGGGAGAATTTTTGAATCAATTTACAACAGTTTTACAGCTGTGATTGCCCCCAAATGCCCTGGTACGACCGATAGTGGGGAGAGTCACCTCTCCCTCTCGAAATGCTCTCATATGGCCAGCGAATATATAGCCTCTACCAGGGAAGTCCTACTCACTGCCTTCTTGTGGCGGGGGTGTTGTTTGCGAAAGTGAGAGGACGAAAAGCGAATGCCCTGCGCTTTAACCGGGTTGGTGGACACGGAAAGTTCACCTAGGGGAGTTGGAAAACTCTGATTCCAAACCAATGGTGCACATGGGCTCCAGTATCCTGAGGGAACAAATGGCGTACGAATCAACCGTTGATCACCGGCTACCATGGGACTGCATCTCCTTACGATGCTCCACTGCCTTGTGGATCAGACATTCAGGTCAAAGGCTCGGGGTGTGGTCCCCTAAGAAAACCACCTGCTTCAGTCTGGGCACCTGTGCAGTATCGCGGCCCTCACACAAATCGAATGAGATTTGTGAGGCGCATATTTATCTGGTGCTTCCTTGTACCAATATTTATGTGTTTAAATAATAATATAATAATACAGCTGTGATCGCCCCATAAGCACATAATAAATACCTAACTTGTTGGAAATACCTTTTTTGTCTTATGATCCTAAAAATAGTTACGGTAAAGATGTAATCTTTTAAATTCTTTGAGTGAATGATAAGGAAATCTAGGGAAAAATTGTTTGGTAAATGATTTTATGTTAAGAATAGATCTAGCATTAGAAAAAAGAAAACACCGTTTATCTCAACCCGATTACTTGGCAAAAAACAGTAAAATGTTTTCGCTTAAAAATTGTATTTCAATTTCATAAGAAAATGAAATAGTTTCATTTCGTCATTAAGTGTAATTTTCCATACCAGTTTTTGCATTGTCTTTTTTTCTTCACATTTCACTTTTTCAGACCAACATTTCGTTATTTTAATTGGATCACTTCAATATTGGGAATGATTGGTTGTATCATTATGTGTTTATTAATTCAACCAATATATACGGTAGTCGCAATTATTGTTTTAGGTCTACTTGTGTTTTCATTATATCAACGGCATTTAGAATCGTCATGGGGTAACATTGGACAAGCTCTTCTATTTCATCAAGTAAATGTTTTTAATGTTAAAAAAAGATTACTTGACTTTAATTTAGTTGAAATCAAAGTTTTTCCATCTGCATATCTTTCTAAATCTATAAATACTTTATGAAATGAGTACGTCAATTTAATTTTGTAACCTTTTGAACAGTCAGTCAATTTATAGAACATTACAAATTTTCTTCTTCGATTTGTAGTATGATATCTTAAAGATTAGTTCATAGAAATGGTGTTTTTTTATTCAGGAAATTCTGTAAAATATGACTACCTCATAAATATTACTTTTTCAGTGTTCTCTCACAATAATTTTCAGCGTTTTGTCTTATTATCAGTATAAGGTTGTGGAGATTATTAAGCTTTTATTATGATCATGAACCCGTCGATGTTAAACCACTATGGAAAACCTTGGAGCACTGAACGGTAGTTTCGTCTCAGTATGGAACTGCACAACGGTGTGCATCTACGATCACATATGCGAGACTAGAACACAAGACCTGTCTCGTGCGAACGCTTATCCTCTAAACCACCAAGTCGGTATCCAATGGCGTTTATGTTTAGCTCGTTCTATGATGATTTGTTTGAAAAAGCATTCTTTAACTCAGTCTACTTGGTCTCGAGACATTTACAATGTGTGAATATATGTTTAAGTGTACTTTTCTAGTAGGTAAAAATGAAACATCAAATAGTCGCTAACGCATCAGGGACAGAAGCAAAGTAGAAAAGAAGAATTTACCAAACTGTTTGATGAGAATAATACGAACATCCACCATAAACTATCTTCATAACTGTATTTGTAAAAGCTTATTTACTAGTTTTGTCCAGTTAATCTTGTTGTTTCTTCATTGATTTAATGGCAACTAACAGTGGTAAATAATAATAATAATAATAATAATAATAATAATAATAATAATAATATGTGTAGTGCATATAGATCTGGTGCCCCCTTGCACCAATATTTATGTGTTTAAATAAATAAATAAACAATTAACAGTTGTACGATAAACTTTTCTAGCTGAGATCGGTCGATAAAACATCATATTATCACTACCGCATTTCTTTTACATATTAAATGATGATTTGGTATATAATACTCATGAAATTTATTTTTATAGATCCGTAAATATTTATTATTGTTGGATGCCCGTAAAGATCACGTTAAATACTGGCGACTTCAATTACTGTTACTCGTTGCAAATCCACGTTCGTCAGCTTCACTTGTACAGTTTATGAATAGTTTGAAAAAAGGTGGTCTGTATGTAGTTGGTCATGCAATTTGTGGTGATACAGATGAGTTCGTCGATCAATCGGATCCATGTCTAAATCAGCGTTGGTAAGTGTAAATTTATTTTGCAAGTAGGCTAATAATGAAGCAAGAAACTGTATTACGTAAATTAAAATAAGTTTCAAAAGTCTTGATTTTAATACAACCTACCTTTGAAATGGTCACACGTATCACTATGTGAAATTATTACTTACTTCTGTTACCCCTCATGGAGGAGCATAGGTCGCCCACCAGCAATTTCCATCGAATTCTGTCCTAGACAATCCTTTCCAGTTGTTTCCAAGTGCCATTTATTCTTTTGATGTCTAATCCCAGTTCCAATTGCATTATGTTCTGTGGCCTTCCTCTTTTCCGTTTCCCTTCATGATTCCAAATTAGCCCTTGTCTCATGATGCAGTTTGGTGTTTTACTCAATGTATGTCCTATTCACCTCCAGCATCTTTACCTAACTTCAAATGGAAACTGGTTTATTCTCTCCCACAGTAGGCTTTTGCTGTTGGTATCCAGTCAATGGATATTGAATATCTTTCGTAGACAATTGTTTATAAATACATGTACTTTTTTGATTATGGTTGTAATAGTTCTTGACGTTTCAGCTCCGTATAGTAGAATTGTCTTGACGTTCGTATTAAAGATGCGAACTTTGTTGTTGGCTGTAAAGTTATTCCTGATAGCATTATCATTATTGAACTAAATGATTTAGTTTGAAATGACTTGAATAATTCTGTTGTTAATATTTTTATTGGAATATAATCCGCATTGATTGAAATATAGATAGCCTGTGACGATTTCTTCGATGTAGCTATTATGATACAAGTTGATATAGTGCTTGAATAATGCTTGTAGTGGAATCTAGGACGCACATTTCGTCGTGAAACTTGTCATCTGGATATACCTGCATTCCACATTTGAATCTCGCTCTGGTACTCGAATATATCTATTATATATTAAGTTGTTTGATAATGGATATTTCGAAGCAATTCTCACAGGATCCCCATATGCCAACTATTGCAGATCAAATTTTGGTCGAAATATCAATAACGGGTTGATTCAAGTCGTTTAAAATCAAACTAAATCTCATAGCCGTTTCAGGAGTGAGTGGATATCTGAACTCAGTAGCTAAGTGGATAACGCATTGTTGTTTGAAACGAACGTTACTGGTTTCGATTTCTGCAGTGAACATCAACTTTGGAATGCAGGTTCCTCCAGCTAGTGAGTCCCAAGTCGAACAAAACGCGCTTTCTGTTTTCCACTACTAACCACATTCCATCTATTATACATTATTCGATTGAATAATTTTGTTTAGTCTTCTGTTAGTGAAAGTTTATATAAAATACCTTTCTTTTTATTCCTTTTTTTATCTAATAGTAGAGTATCATAGGGTTTATCGATTAAGTAGTACATGGATTTGTTTGTAATTTAGTGACGCCTTTTTAATACATATGAGCAATTCCACTTATTCATTTAATGTGCTTCCATCAGAATTAATAGCTTATAATTTTAATTCTTGATAAAATTTGATTTAATGCCTAGTGTGTGTAGCTTTGTAGTGTATGAAAATTTATATATGGTAAACCAATTTATTGTTTTACGCAAAATCAAACAGTAGCATTGTAAAGTATGAAAATCATACATTGAATACATCATTCGCATATCTTCCTTCAGTTTTTTTATATACTTCATTCTTCCGATCTTATTTTTATTTCTGTTGCTCCGTGTTTTACTTCCTTTTCTTTTTATTTCACTCTTCTGCCCATAGGCATTCTACTTCCGGCCCCATGTTACATACTACTTATGCCTTTTCGCATAAGTAGTGCTCACCACAATTTAATGCTTATTCGATTAATTTTGTTTCTCTATCATGAATATGACTTCTGTATTAATCATGAAGTTGTCGAGAATTTTTTCCGAAGACAATATATAGTCATGTTTATACTGTTTGAATTTTTTAATCATAATTTAAGTAGTTTGTAAAATTCTATCATTTTTACATATAGGTATTGGACACAATATGTGAAATACTTGAAAACTAAAGCATTTGTAGAAATCACAATTGACCGAAGTGTACGCAGAGCTATATCCCATCTTATTCGAATTTCAGGTTTGGGTGCAATGCGTCCAAATACAGTTTGCTTAGGATTTTATGATGATAAGCCGTCAGTTGTAAGTATCTTTTTTCTGCTTTATTCATTCTTGATATTTTAAAACTTACATTATTTATTGATATGTTCCTTTTTACTGTATTATTTCAGATAGTTCGACATATTTGTATAAATAAAATGGTGTTTGGCATAATTTTTACTAGTTTTATTAATGATGAGTGGTTTATTAGCAAGCAATTAAATATGTTGATTCATTTCTACTACTAAGAATAATGTTACTACCTTTAGTACCCCGGGATATCTCTCGACGGTTTGATCTAGCTATGGAATTCATTGACTTGGAACAATGTGCGCATGTATCAGGTTCTACACTGCACATAACTAACTGACCATATTTGGTATGTCTTAGTACTGAAATACTAATCCATCTCAAATTATCGGTTTGGCATCCTTTAGATGACAATTTGTCAACGCCATAATCGATCAAGATACCTTGTGATACTTTTAACTTTTTTTATACTAGATTACTTCGTCAAAAATACTTTACGTCGTGAAGTTAGTTATTAAAATGCCCAATCAGTTAGTCAATCACCGGGTTAATGGTTTAAGACTTATGACACCTGCCTCAGCTTCAATGGGCTCCGTAGTTCTCTTTCACAGATACAGTGTAGTTCAGAGCTGAATGAATAAATTTTTACTGTTATGGATGGTCACTTTACTAATAAACCAAAAATTTTCCAATTTATTACTTATTAAAACTGATCACTTTCCTTATTGTGATATTTCATGTCGATTATTGTTCACTATTTTCTTATACATACAGGATATTTTAGCTAGGATTTGGAAAGAACGTAAAGTAAAAACATTCAGTTCATGGCCAAATCATATCCATTCATACAGTTCCACAGAGTTGATCATTAATAATAATGATGCCCAAACGACAAATGGTGAGATAATACTCTTAAATACCTATTCGCTTCGTTTTATGTTTGTTAGAGAGATAAGGTGTTTCTTTGATTTATGTAGTTGTAGAAAAGTATTTAGTTCTTACATCTTCATTTTCTAAGGAAACCGCTTGAAATTTCAAGTTTTCCATTAAAGTGATGTCATTTTGAGTGAAGTTCACTTCTTGGATACTTATCAGCTGATTAAAATGGATTCCACAAATAACAGTTTGCGTAACTTCTTTTATGAATAAAAGTCCCACAAAGACTATATTCAGGGCCGTGAAACCTTAATACTCTGTGCGCCGTTTTAAAAAATGTCATTTAAATCCGATAGCTTCTGTAAGCTTTTGAAGTAGTAGTGTGGTGTATGTTACTTATGGTGACAGATATAAATAGTATTTAGCTGCATTTTGGAAGTGAAATGCCTTCCAGAATAACTTTGAATTGAAGATAATTGTAGAAGAAACAGAGAGCAATCGTAAGAATCAGGAAGTGTGTAAAGGACAACTACAAGAAAATGTGAACATTTAATGTATGATTTTCATATTTTATGTCAAGGCACTATGTAGTAATGTAATGTAATGTAATTCATTGGAAAATGGCTTTATGTCATTTATTTGACTGTATTTAGGCATCAAGAATTGTGGAACTCTGACCACTTATAATCAGCTGGTTTACATGATGTCAGTATAGGGTTGTTGAGATCGTTGCGTTTCATTAGAATCATGAACTGGTCCAAATTAAACCATCATTGAAAACGTGGAAGCGCGGGACAACCATTTCGTCCCCCAAATGCCCTGGTACGGCCGAGAGTAGGGAGAGTTCGCTCTCCCTCCCGAAATGCTCTCACGTGGTCACGCGTATATAGCCTCTGACAGGGAAGTCCTACTCACTGCCTTCTCGTGGCGGTGATGTTGTTTACGAAATTGAAAGGACGAAAGGCAAATGTCCGGCGCTTTAACCGGGTTGTCGGACACGGCGTGTCCACGTAGGTGGGTTGGAAAAGCCTGATTCCAAACCAATGGTGCACATGGGCTCCAGTATCCTGAGGGAACAAATGGCGTATGAACCAGTTGTTGGTCACCGGCTACCATGGGACTGCATCTCCTTAGGATGCTCCACTGCCTTGTGGATCAGACCTTTAGGTCAAAGTCTTGGGGTGTGGCCCTCTAAGAAAATCACCTGCTTCAGTTTGGCAACCTGTGCAGTATCGCGGCCCTCACACAAATCGAATGAGATTTGTGCGGCACATTTGTATCTGATGCTTCCTTGTACCAATATTTATGTGTTTGAATATAAATGCTCACTAGTGATTAGCTTCAATATTGATTTCCCGGCGTTCTAGTTAGAAGCAATGATCAGTGAAGTTCAACCGTGTTGGGTGTGAGGGATTTATCTACCAAAGACAATGGAAAATAGTCGCTTAATATCGTGGATTGATTGCAGCTAGATATTAACACCGTCGGATCCCAGAAAAATGGCTGAGTCTGGGCGTTTGCGTCCGGCCTTTAAGACGAAAAGACTGTCTTGTGAATCCAGGTTTCGATCGGTGATTAAACATTAATAGGTTTATTGTTTCAATGGTTTACATGTTATGAAAGTGGTCTTCAAATAATGGTAATCTTCACAATCCTCTAAGGCACGTATATCGGTCTAAAATAATACGAATGTGCTTTTCACAATTTTTCACTGAGCTATTCATCTCTTACAGAATAAACAGTTGTTATTTTTATGTCTTTCAAATAAAACATTTTTTTAGCTTATTTAAACAGCAGTGAACTATTAGCTAATTTTGGTTCAGTTCCGAATCAGGATTCAAATTCTATTTTTGTCAATCAGAATAATGCAGATAATCAATTTTATACCGACCATCGTTCTGGTCGTCTTACTTCACAAGAATATGTTAGCATTATTCGAGAAATTCTCAATATGGAGGTAACATCTTTTTCTAAATAGTTGTCTTATTTTCTTTTTAAATTAAATCTACACTACTGAATTATTCAAGTAGCTAAACATACCCAACAGTAAACAGCGTTTTGCGGCTTGATATTTTATTTAGTAATAATACCATTTATTAATATATATTGTTTATTTTTACTCCAACCGTGTATTAGATTACTTTTTTTGTAGTTGTCCCAGTGAAATTTCATGTCACTGGCTATAGTATACAAGTATTGAGTTGAATTTAATTTAAACCTAGTACATGTAAACTAGTGTTTGTTTTACTGAAATAGTGATTTGAATTGGTAACAGCCTATTTCACTTATCTTTCATCATATGAAACCAAAATAATGTTTAATGTTTATAGGGTAATGATTATTTTTCAAAATTTTTCACCTTCATTAATTACTCACTTTCCTTCCCGTAAACTGTGAGATGAAAATTGCTTTATATCTTTCTTTCTACGAACTAATTCTTTCTTCCTATACTTTTTTCTTTATACATAATCTTTCTTTTATATATTAATACCACTGAAGTAATTGCTTCTACGAATTCAGTGTTCATCTTGTGCTAATGAGGTGTGGCAACGTGGACTGGTGCATATATGTGCCTGGTTCTGCGTTGTAGCTGACTGACCTACTTTCCTAAAATGTTTAGTATATCAATGCACACTGTTACTGGGTAATATTCAGGCAATTTATTTATAAATTCGATTCACGCAACGATTTCATTTTTACGGTTGACATTCATTTCCAATAAGTATTTTAATGAGTGCATATTCTTGAGATTTAGGTAATTTTGTAGATGAATATAGATAATTTTCAATTAACATTTTTTGTTAGAGACTTTTTAGTAGCTGAAGACGTGGTTTATGGTATTTTCTTAGTTTAACGTGATAGTGAAAAAAATGACAACCTCGCCTGTTGTTTCTTGACCTTCCTTTTCGTTGTTCTTTAGAAACTCATCCTTGAATGAATAATTCATACAGTATTATGGTAAGATCTCATGAGGTATACTTCGGTTAAATACGCGACTAGTCTACTTTATGTTGTTCACTTATTTAGTTTTAGTATTTATACGCTAGATTTGTAATCGTTTTCAAGTCTATTTTCACATGATTGCTTCCAAAAATAAGTTATTGAAATTATATTTCTAATATACCTAACCTCGAACGATCGTGATTTGTTTTCACATGAAACGAACTGGAATCATTGAGTTTGGTAACAATTATTACTATGTATATGATACTGCAAAAAGTAGATTTTACTTGTTTAGATATTCATATCTTCTATTTTCTTTTTTAACAAATTTTTTAGACCAATGTTGTACTTGCTCGAAATTTCGATAGAGTAATTTTTGATGAAGGTATGTCTGGTTGGGATACAACTCGACGTTATTTCCGCAATATTTTTCATACAACTAATCGTTCACAACGACTAAATTCAAATTATAATAATGGTTATAATGCAGGTACAGTAATGGATACTACTAATTCAATGCATGAAATTAATCCATATATAGTAGACACTTCAAAAGCTATATTCTTTGATATATGGCCAATTAATCTTCTTGAATTTTATGGTGGGACTTTAAATCTACCATCATCTTCATCATCACATGAAGAAATTTACAAACAAGCAATTGATCGTACTGGTCTTTTCCTTTTACAACTTGCCTGTTTAGTCGCTAGATCACCCTATTGGCGTAAACGTCGTCATCCACCAAAACTACGCGCATTTTTTCCACAGTTAGGTACAATGAATCAAATGAATCCACCTAATGGGGAAGTTGTTACGGTAGTTGACAAAACACGTTCCCAGTTGTCGACGTTGTTGAAAAATTTACGAATTCCTGTAAGTCAGAAGTTGTTTTCTAAGCAAATATTTGTGAAGTTTTTTTAATTCAGTGCAAATAGTTTGTACGTTATAAAGTATTTTGGGCTAATCGCTTCAGTTAGTGTCTTGATGTTATGATTTCTTTGAAAACTGATTCGAGTGGTTTTGTGTTTAACCTTTTGGATTCATTAATTGATAAGGGATTTAATTGAAATTATATGACCTGACTAACTTTTTTGTTTTTCTCCAGGGAATATAACAAAATGGTCGACCAAAGTGTTTGTATTTTGATTTGTTTTGCATTTTCTAGTTTTTGATATATTTAACTTGATATAGTGGATGGTTTAAAACATCTCTCTGCCCCTCTCAATTATATTACGATGATATGCTAATATAATAATGAAACTAGTCGCGTTATATCAGATCCAGGATTCATGACCCAGAATAGAGAACCATACTAGCACTAAATAATACTTTATTTTACACAGTTACAAGCAGTCATACTCAGTGTGTTCAGAGGAGAAATCAATTAGAGGAAAGGAAATCACTCATATGATCATCAGTAGTTTAAGTGTCTTTTTGTCCACACTCGGTGACCAACCGTACTTTATTTTCATTATCACATATCATGACTCAGAAAGATTATAGTACGTCCATACTTTTAGTTCATCGTACAAAATCACCCATTTTTATGATACTTGTTAACCGGCATTCACACACTTGTTCGCTTTAACATTTACATGTGGATTTCAGTCATTACTTTTCTGGTAACATGATTTTAGTGTAGTATCATTAAGTTCTCAAATTCTACTGTTTGGTGAATCGTGATAAGTTTAGGAGCGTTATTTATTCTAATAACAACCGTATATGTTTCTTAAAATATTGTTACAGATAGATTTATTGAGCGTAATACGAGTAGAATGGAAGGAATTTAGGAACTGAACTAATTTTTTGTTCAATTGCTAATCATAGATAGCATGATTTCTTCTCCAGGATTTATAATAATCTAATATTTTTATTAAAAATTCATTTTATGGTTTTGTATTTTATATCTTACTACAAAATTTCTAGTTTCCTTCAGCATTATCTACATCTGTTAAGTTCAATTTGAATGTGAATGAATCTTACAAGTATGCATTTAAAAATACCATTTGATCTGTTCATTAGAGAGAATGAATTTTTTTTTAAACTAACATATAAGAACTTTCCTTTAAATTAGAGCGAATAGTTTCACAGTATTTGAGCGCCGAGCTGATGTAAGACATTAAATAGGAATAATATATGTGTAAAATTTCAGCGAATGAATTTGAAGGAAATCCAACCTTTCACCTGGCAATCTGGTCCAAGCTTTTTCAATTAATTCCTTGAAAAAGCTCGGACCAGATTGCCAGGTGAAAGGTTGGATTTCCTTCAAATTCATTCGCTGAAATTTTACACATATATTATTCCTAATAACAACGTAGTTCTAAGATATGTTCAACACACCATTCTGTATTTAACTGTTAAGTATTTAAGCTACGCAAATTAAAGTACACATTACAAAGCGATAATTTTTAACCCAATGATTATTTTTTTATTAGTTATATAATGAACAATTAAAATAAAATTAGTAATATTCATCATTTCACCATTAAACTTAGTCTTTAGAGATGGATAAAGTTTCAATCCAAAAAACATTTTGTATCTTGTTTAATCTAATAAACTATTAAATCCATAATTGCATCTTGCTCAAATTTTTAGACTACTTTCTCTTCAAATGTCTATTTATTACCTTAAATTTTCCTGTTATATATTTAATATGACTAACTACATATATTTGATAACCGCACGTACTAACACACTTTCATAGAATACTAACAGCATATTACGGCCGGTCAATGAAAAACTCTAGAAGTATACCTCCACGGTGATTCGCATATTTTCCCATACTTCTATCCATTGGAGATAGAAACGCTAGATGATTCCTACTAATATGTATAACTTACTTACTTACTTACGCCTGTTACTCCCAATGGAGCATAGGCCGCCGACCAGCTTTCTCCAACCCACTCTGTCCTGGGCCTTCCTTTCTAGTTCTATCCATTTTTTGTTCATTCTTCTCATGTCTGTCTCTATTTCTCGGCGTAATGTGTTCTTTGGTCTTCCTCTTCTCCTTTGGCCTTCAGGATTCCACGTGAAGGCTTGTCTTGTGATGCAGTTGAGTGATTTCCTCAATATGTGTCTTATCCACTTCCAGCGCTTCTTCCTGATTTCTTCTTCCACAGTAGGTTGTTGCTGATAGTGTCTGGCTAACGGATCCGAAGTATCTTGCATAGACAACTGTTAACAAATACCTGTATCTTCTGGATGATGGCTTTCGTAGTTCTCCATGTCTCCGCCCCATACAGTAGAACTGTCTTGACATTTGAAAATCCTGATCTTGGTTGACAATTGTTTTGAGTTCCAGATGTTTTTCAGTTGTAAATTTGCTGCTCTTGCTTTTCCGATCCTCGCCCTCACATTTGCATCTGATCCACCGTGTTCATCAATGATGCTGCCCAGATATGTAAAGGTTTCCACATCCTCCAAAGTTTCTCCGTCAAGTGTAATTTGATTGGTGCATGTTGTATTGTATCGGAGAGTCTTGCTTTTCCCTTTGTTTATATTGAGACACTAATATGTATAAGCAGGTTAATAATAAAATCTTTCTGCATTTTAAAAAGTAAAGTAAACAATTAAGATATTTTCGACCTTTGAAACATCTTTACGTGGAATAATCACTGACAGATGTTTTAAATGCATATTCTTTGTCTAGTTACTATTGTTCTTCTAAAGCTGAACTGTTTAAAGCATATAGCTTTTATTATTATCATTATTCTCCCAAATCAATACATCAACATAATTCCATAAAATAGATGGTTGTTAGTTTCGCGATTTTTCTGCAAATAAATTGAGACTCAATAGTATATTTAATTATAAGTTTTATTTTAAATCATTATTACAACCTGTGTAGAAATTCTTATTCTGATGTTCTCAACTAAGGAAGACAATAAAACCTATACGATTAAAATTAAAAAGTTGTGTATAAGTAACCCTAAACTACAGTTTTTTTTAATTCATATTATATTGAAATGATTTAAAATATTGTTTATATTATTATGGTAACCATGGTAATTGAAAATGTTTCTTTTTAAAAAACCTATAGAAAGTTTATACTCTTGGAAATGTTTTTCATTTAATTTGATATTAAAACAATAAATATACAAGTTTGACTGAAATGTAAATAATAATAATAATAATAATAATAATAATAATAGGTCAATAAAATCAATAATTTTGTAATAAAATTAATGATAAGATGCATTAAAGATTAATAGAATAAATAAAAGTTTTATTTTTTTATTTTTGAAAAGAAAGAAAACCGCTTAGTGTATTACAATAAACATTGTATATAACCTAATTTTATTGAATTGTGAATTAAGACTATCTATGTAAACAGTGTTAAAATCAAACACTTACATGAATAATAATAATCATTAAAAATTTGGTATAAAATATCGATCGCTTTCGTCATAATTAGATAAAAATATTAGAATCCATGGTATAGTACGGTCGATTGTCTCTCATCATGAAAACATCACTGTTATTGTTCAATTTTTTTAAAATCAATTCAACAAAATTTCAAGTTTCTACTATATACTCATGATATTAGACATGTTTAAATAGTCTATTAACTATTCTTTATTTATTTGAACAGATAAATATTTGTAAGAGTGGGCACCAAATACATATGCGCCACGCAGTAACAATCAGGCCAGTAGTAGTTATCATTCATTTATGTGAGGGCTGTGATGCTACCTGGGTGCCTAAACTGTAACACATGGTTCTCTTAAGATGCCACACGCCGAGTTTTTGATTTGAAGGTTTAATACACAAGACAGTGGAGCAACGTTAGGAGACGCAGTCCCAGGGTTGCCGGTGGCCAATAATCGGTTCATACGCCTTAGGATTCTGGAGCCCATGTGCGCCATTAGTACTGACTATTCAGATTGTTTTATTTTAGTTTTTTCTATATACATGAAATTTGACCGAAGACATTGTTATACGTTTTGTCGCCTAACATAATCGGTAGTTTGTTAGTTGAAAGAGGTCATTTTTCAAGGAAAAAGTGTGTTACGTTAGTTATAAATTAGATACAAAGGATCTATCTTGTGGAGTTGAAAACCCTTGATTCCATACCATTGACGCACATGGGTTCCAGAATCCTTAAAGAACACATTGCGTATGAACCTATTGTTGGCCAGTGGTTATCATAAGACTGCATCTCTTAACGTTGTTCCACTGTCTTATAGGTTAGATTTCGAAGTCAAATGTCCTGAGAGTGGTCCCCTTGGAAATCCATCTGTCTTGGTTTGGGCAACCGCGAATTATCCTAGATTACATACAAATTGAGTGATAATTACTTTGTTTTGGCGTACATGTGACCCTTTGTACCAATGTTTATGTGTTTAAATAAATAAATAAGGTCTCCAGTTATCAACATTCAATAATTCTAATTTGTAGTATATTTACACTAGTTTTCATACTGAAGAAAGAAAGGACCATTCGTATTTTTGCTTAATGGTTGTTATTCTTTGTTTATAGGCGGAAATACATCTGGTTGATATGGATATTTCAGTAATGAAAAAAAATTCAATGTTGAAAAATATTGATGATAATACTAATGATAACAGAAGAATAATCTATTTGAACCAATTAATTCTGTCTTATTGTCATCCGAATACAACAGCTTTATTTCTTTATTTGCCTAAACCAAGTTCAGATTTATCATTAGCTGATATTTATTTGAATCAATTGAATATACTAACCGATACGTTACCGCCAACATTGTTAGCTCATGGTTTACATGAGGTTACATCAGCTGAACTGTAACGATTAATTTTGTGTTTTGATATGAGTTTGAAAATGAGTGAGCAACAACATACTTGTATTTTTCGATACGCATTATATCAATAATTTGATCCATTTTTTACTACTATCTGGTTGTTTTTTCTCTGATTGAATTGATTGTTATCTATTTGTGTGTTTGCGCATACACATGTATCCCTTTTTGATCAATACAGTTATTTTTACTAAGTGTTCATGCCTTATTCACTAGTTTGTTAACGCAACACGATTATAGTTGCCTTCCTTCAGTATTTTTTCATGTTCACATTTCTATCTGTGACTAACAGTTCCACAGTAATTTTTATTGTCAGTACTGAGATTCAACCAACTAATCATTACTTTATTAATAAAGTCGTAAAGATCTAAGATTACAATGTGTTTATCATCAGATCAATAGTCAAAGTACTGCTTTTTGTTATTCGTATCTTATTTTACTAATTAAATAATTTCTCACACATTCATTGTTGGTTGTTTGAGGCCTAAATTTGTTAGAATGAGCGATGAATAAGAACAGTTATAATTCTTTTGAAAGAAAAACAGTTTCTTCTAAATGTTCATATTTATCATTACTTCAATACATGCACACATACACACACGTAAGTCATGATTGTCTACAGTTTGTTCATGTTTTGATCATTAATACAGTGTGTTTCGTTGACCTAATTACTATTTATGAATTTTGATGAACAAGTTTTGATAAATATAATTTCTTTATTTATAAATAATGACGATCAGACAATAAAAAAATTGGATACAGATACCAATATCTAAATAACATGCTGATTCATGAACTTTATTAATTGTCTTCATGTACTCAACCTATTTACATTTAATCTCGTTTTGTTTTTCACTTCTTTATATCATCACATTTTGTTTTTGTGATTTTAATAAAGTTTAAGTATTTTGTGTTTTAATGGACGTGTATTCATTTCATTCTTCTCATCAGAATTTTCTATTTTGGTCAGCTATAATTTCTTTTTTTTATATATAATTACGATAAATACAAATATAAACGGTAACAATTGATTTAAACATTTATTATAACAAAGATGTTTGTTTTGTTTCTGCGTAAGCGGTAGTGTTAGTTATTAACAATTAACTGTTGTTCATGATACAAACTATTTACTTGACATATACTCTTGTTAATTTATTTTGTACATAGAACGATTAGACCACTGAATCGGCATCACATGATTTACATTTCATGCTTCAATTAGTTTAGAATAATGCATACAAGTCATACATTAGCGTGGATGATATGTCTCACGCCTGACACGATTGAATTCATTAATCACAGCTCTTCGTATGAACTAAGGGGATCATTGCTCGTAGTTAGTAATTAGCACGTGGTTTTCTTATCTTAACATAGTCGTTTGAAGGTTAGGCGCTGGCTGCGAGGCTTGAATGGATCTTAAATGCGCATTGTTGGAAAGTCATATATTAAAACATTACAGCTATCCAATACATCCTGGTTTTACATGGTCGTTTACCCAACAAAATACGTCTAGTGAACTTAATTTAACTTTCACATCATTAAATCAGGATTAGAGTCACTCAGAACTTAACTTATGCATTTGTATACTGAATTTACAGATATGTACAGAAGTTTCGACATGTAGCTAGCAACTGCACTCAGTATGAATGTAAACATAATATCAGTGTCAGTTAAACTATCACACCATTAATCGGCCCGACCACCGACGTGCAATATTTCATGGTGTAGGAGTAGGTTGGAAGAAAGCTAGAGGTGGCCAGACCAAAACGTGGCACAAATCAATGAAGTCACTGACAAGTGGACTAGGCCATGTTGGTAGGTGTAGACTACCTGGTTGGGATTCGCGAGATGACAGCAACCGATGGTTAGAGACCTTGAATGACATGGCTCAAAATCGTTTGCAATGGCGAAGATGCATCCACTCTTTGTGTTCTACCAAATTCTAATCTTCTGAATTCCTCATGTATTTATCTTTTTCTCTTTCCAAATTTATTTCACTGTACTATACTCCTTCAATAATTTCTTCAAACCCTAATCTTTTGGATTTCTGATTATACTCCTACTACTTCTACCACTATGGGAATTGAATCGACAACTGCATCTCTGTGCTAATGTGGTATGGCAACTCGAACTGATGTACGTACGTACGAAGTTCTACGTTGTGACTGACTGACTGACCATTAATCGGCATACTTCTTGAAATTTTCTACTTTTGACTAAACTATTCGAGATGCAGTGAACTGTAGTAATCGTATGATGGAAAGCTAGCTGCCGGACAGTCAAACTACACTGGATTACGTACGGAAAGTACAAGCCTATTTATTTACCTCAGAAATAACTCCTGAGGGGTTGTGGTGAAATATAAGTAATGATATTCTGGTAAGATTTCATGTGCTGCCAGTACATGTTCACTGAGACTAGTTATTTTTTAATTTTTTGGGAATTCTACTTTTAGATATAAACCTGAACTTTTCGCTTCTGTCTGTACCATTATCATTTTATTCTGTGGTATCAACTTGTTATTAGTACACCCGTGATTTTAAAAATGCGTATCGCTGTATTTCAGACTTCAACTGAATATATTTGTTTCTCAGTGTTTGTGCTCACAGTATTACTCGAACCCACAACCTATCACTTGAAATGCCGTGCTATTCACTACTAGACTACTGAGTCTAAAGAACAAATAACTTATTCAAATGATATGGTGTTCATTCTTAGTTTCTGTTATCATATTGATATTCAGCACTGAATTTTGGATGCTAGGCTGATAACCTCAAAAGAAATTTAAGTTACAAGTCCCAGAATATATCTCCACAGTAAATCAATGGTGTAAACACAAGTAAATTACCAGGCTAATTCCAGTCATCGATTTCATATATAACAAGTCTTAACTGTGGTTTCTTTTCCGAGAAAAATGACGTTTTTTAATCGAAGTGAAGACAATTCACAGAAAACAATTTTTATGAAATATAATAGAAAAAAATCATACAAACAAAATTCAGACTAAATTGGGAAAGCAGATTGAAAGTTAGTTAAACAGGAGTTTTACCGGACTCCAGTAATTTCATATCTTCATCCACCATCAGCTTAACAAGTTCTGTAAAACCACAAGTTGGCTCCCATTTTAATAATTCTTTTGCTCGAGTGCAATCCCCCAATAAGAGATCCTGTGAAAAAATTTACTAATGAGTGCATCATGACTAGACCATTCGTTTAGGAAATGTTTTCTCTACAAAAAATCAAACTTCGTACACGTTTTGCTGACAGTATCTTTCCCTAAACTTGAAAGTAATCTGAGTCCGGATGAACCGCTCTTCAAAGTCACTTCACTTACTGAAATCATGAATGAATATTTTTCTATATATAGTCTTGGTAGATGAGTCTAATCAGAGTAATTAACTGACTTCATCAGAAAAGGATGATTGCTGAATTCCCCTGTTTTGTTTTGTGTTAACGCAAAAGCTAGATAGCTGACATGGATATAACTCCTTCAAAAAGTTATATTCTAAATGATCAGAGACAGACCAATTAAATCTGAATAAGCCTGGTTGCTGTTCGTAGACAATGTGCAGTTTTTGCTGATTAATCTCCAGTAGTTACCGCATTAACAAACAATTACTCTGTATGTGGATTAGTACCAGTTTTACTACCTTGACATATTATTATTAAACAACTTCAAAGTCACATTGAGTTTTTTGTCAGCTTGTGTTTTTCGGAATATAATAGAAACACAAGAACATCTTTATTTAGAAGATACTGTATATGGAAATAAGTGAGTCCTTTAGTCCAATGTACAGAACAGACATCGAAATCACTACTCATTTTATTATTTGAGCGACTGAATGACCTTACCATTTGCAAATATGTATATAATGAACTAGTGTAGAAATAGATAAATTTACTATGCGATAATAAATTAGCTGAACAAGAGCAATAAACCGATAAAATAAACCTATGAAATACTATACTTACTACTTCTGCAGGACGGAAGTAACGTTCATTGACACGAACAAGAACATTCCCTGTTTCTGAATCAACGCCAACTTCATCAATACCGGTTCCTTTCCATCTGATTTTATTTAGAAACCATTAATTTCATGCATTTAAAATCGCTCTCAAAATGAGTGATTAAACAATAAAAGTAGTTCAACGAAAATGAGCACTATGGCCATTAAAAAACACAAGCTATATGACTATCAAGAACAGTTTTAGGATTCAAATGTCACCAATACACAACTTCAAGGATGTACCTCAAATAATATGATGCAATTTCAATTGTTTGGAGAATCTAAATATCTAAGCAAAAACCTACCATGAGTATCTTACTCATTTGACTCACGATGACCGAATTAAAATAACTAGTTGGTTTATTAAATATTATTAATAAGCAAATAAGTAACGCACTTCAACCTTTTGAATTTATATCGAGAAAGATGTAATCCAAGGTAATAAGAAATAAAAGCTACATTAAAATGTTAACATTAGGTTGGTAGTCGCCGAATAAACTGTGTTTTCAAAGCCGAAATTATAGTTTGAACGCTCGAGTTTTAAAATGATGCTATACAATTGCATGCGTGATGAGCTAATAAATATATAAGTCTATAGAATCACATGATAGTGTGTTTGAAGATTACTGAATCTTTTTCTGTTTAGAAATCAAGATTTGTAAAAGTACACTGTAAATTAGTAAAGGAAATTTTGAAAAGATGCTCTTTCTTGTTGATGAGCGTCACTATTTCAACCAACCAAAAAATATTCCACACATTAAATTAGAAGTTAAAATAGTTTTCGACCTACCATTTCTCCAATTGGTGGTTTTCACTGATACGCTTATATATACTGATTTTAAACTCCTGTCCATCTGATCTGGTTTGGGCACATAAAGCGACTTGAGATAGATTATGTGAACCTTTACTCGTATAATCTATCATTACTTATCATTTTTTAGAATTATGAATATAAAATTTGTTTAACAAATCAAAGTACTACTATAACTTTACTGACAATTGGATGACGTGCAGAAATATCGTGTTAGATATTTTTATGGCTATCGCTTAGTTTATAACACGTATTAAACATCTAAAATGAATACATGAGTAGAAATAGAAATTCAGAACATTAAAAGTTTATTAACATATATACCTAATAAGTATATAGGTACTTACGTTAAATGGATTCCAACGTGCTCAAAAGCCAAATTGGTAAATTCACGTACAGAATGCTTTTCCCCAGATGCAATAACGAAATCCTCCGGTGTATCACGTTGAAGCATAAGCCACATAGCTTTAACATAATCACCAGCGAATCCCCAATCACGCTCAGAATTTAAATTACCTAATTCCAAAACATTCTAGATAGAAAAAGAAACCATTAAAACCATATTAAGTCAAATAAAAGAAGCTATCGATACAGAATAAGATGAATTTGAAAAGTACTCAGATATGTAAATAAGTTCTACCAAAGCTTGCAACCTACAAATATGAAGTTTTTCGATTACTGCAACATCAAAATAAGTAAGGTAATTATCTTGAAATTTAAGACGATGCAGTGCGGCGCTATCTCAGCAATACTTAACATTATTTAAGGGACATACAGTAGCAAAGCTGCATTGTCAGCGCCTCTAACAATCAACGCGAAAGACGAAAGGTTTCACAGTGAGTGAAGTGTAAAGATGTATTCAATCTAAAACTTATCGATATTGGTAAACCTAGATATAATCCAGAGTTGGGATAGGCACTGTTACTGCAGAAGATTTGTATAACTATGAAACTGGAGAAAAAAATTCCTTAACGATTAAAAATGGTAACTAACAAATATTGTTAAAACTAGATGTTTTATTCACCATAAGCCCAGAATGGTATTAAAAGTTAATCCATTATATTTGACGTATTTACTGAGATAAATAATTTTAGTTGATGGAGTCCACTCATATCTAGAGAAAGATTTCAAATGCAATTACCATTTGGAATATGAATGAACTATGTTGAATTTTCACACACATGAATAATGACGAGAATGTAACAGTTGGTCTACCTTACAACCTTTCCGATAGGCCTATAGTTCCTACCTTAAACCTTTAGTTTGATTTCAGAACCACCAATCTAATCAACTGTAACCATAAAGGTTTGTATTCAATGAAGTACCGATTATCAGAAAACGCCCTCCATGGCATTTAAAGACCAAGATTCATATGCTATTCCCTTTTTCAGAACTTTGGATACCACTTATATCACTGTGTTGTAATCAGGGCATTTTATTACTTCTAAAGAGTCATATTGCATTCATACACATTTCAAACACAAAAAATTGGCTTTTGTAGAAGTATAGCTATATTGACACGGTAGGTTCAACTACTATGAAATATGGTAGAAATGTGAAGCCATGAGGCATTATCTTTAACTTCTAGCAAACTTGGTGAACCAATATTTATTTTTCTTCTTATTCATTTTGTTTTTTCCTATGAATCATAATTAGATTTTGATACTCTTCTAACAATTATAAACCGCTTGATTTTTGATCATGTTTGGAATGCAACTAAAAGGAGTTATTAGTATTAGAACCGTATATGAGGTATGAATCGGTTATGGCTAATGTCTAAAGCTAGAGTGTTACTTCTTCTTGATGTTGATATACTTCAATGTAATTTGAACTTATTTTTCCGGTTCCATCGAAAAACAGAATTGTTGCAAACCATATACAAGTTATTCCCATTAGATGTAAATGATTAAAATATTTAACTACTTGTTGAAAACAAAACTTTTCTAAAATCATTCTGAAAACATTTGAGGTGACCAATCATATAAAAAGATATTCTAACCTGTAGACCCTTCTTAATTCGTACAACTGCGCGTGTAATTTTCCGAGTAACAAACGTTTCTCCTCGCCGAGGGCTTTCATGATTGAATAAAATCCCGTTGCATGCAAACATTCCATAAGACTCTCGATAATTTACCACAATCCAATATGCGTACAGTTTCGCAACGCCTTTGCCGAACGTACAGAAGAAAAATCAATTATTACGCAAAATAAACCACATGTACATTTCTATCAAATTAATTACTTAAATCACCATACCTGATAGCTCATTTTCTGTGTACATAAGTCCAACAAAACCGCGACAAATTCATTCAGTCCTTGATTGTAATTCACAGGAGAACAGTGATCGATTGAACACTTTAGATGATATAGTAAAAATCAGTCAGCGGTGTAAGATGATTAAGTTTCTATCTTTCTTCGAGTTTTAGAAATTTTTTCCTCCACTCGATACATCTCTTTAGGTTTAATTTGAATCGTTTACCACTGTTAATTAACTATTTGTACTTTTTGATGTTTTTTTGCGATTACATTGTGTAAGCCAAGTTGGCTTACGTGAGTAATAGCGAATACATTTAGGGTTGTATGAATTTCGAAAAAAAATAGAGCAGGCATAGTACAAAGAGGTAACTAAAGAGCGATACGCAGACAGAATCACTCAAACACGTTTTACATCACGGTACAAGTACATAATAATTGATAAAAAATGACTCAAGATTTTACGATGATTGTTATCAATCTACTTAACGTACCACTAGCACACTGTAGTGTCAATAAATAACCAATCTCAGAGCAAAGCTTAAAATGTTAAGATTAGTAAATTAACCAAACGACAAATCTATCGAGGTCTACAATTATTCCGATAGTTTGCTCATACAATGGGTTTAGAGCTCTTTGTTTTTCTAGCGTACAATTACAATTTAGTGATTACACAAATAAACGATACGAACATACAAAGACTGGACTTTTTCAGCTAAAGTTGACTGAGTATATTTATCTAGTCTTATGAACGTCTACAGTTATTAAATAAAAAAAGAATGGCCATATTTTTGAACGAACACAATTTGCAAAAGCTGTTGGACTTTATGAACTCAGAAAGAGATGAGATTTTTTTGCCAACCGAAGGCTAATACTAACTTTGTTATTCTACTTTCGTAACCATAGCATCGGGTTCGGAGTTCTTCCGGTCATCAGAAAAACGTAAAGATACAGAATTCACTGAGTTTTGAAGAGAAAGGTTTAATCTTTGATGATGTTTCACAATATAAAAAACTGAATTCGAAACTTACTGTACGGTGACCTCGGGTAAAAAGGCGTTTTCTCACTTTGTGGAGTTTCCACGACTTTCCCATACAGTTCACTGCTGGAGGCTTGATAAAACTTAACAGTTTTTTCTAATTTACATGTTCTAATAGCATCCAGCAAACGTAAGGTACCAAGAGCAACAACTTCACCAGTATACTCACTAAGGTCAAAAGAGACCTAAAATAGAGTTAAAGTTGAATAAGAATACAGACCTTCACATGGGACTGAGCAGCTAGGTTGTATATTTCATCAGGCATTACTTTGCTGATTACTTTGATCAATGAAGAACTATCAGTCATATCACCATAGTGAAGAAAGAATGTCTCTGTTAAGGTTACATGAAATAATTTATTCAGCGTACTTTCGCACGAAAACTTGTTCTTTTCGTAAATATGGTTTACCCTACCAGTATTAAATGTGCTTGATCTTCTTATAATGCCATGAACCTAAAGACGATTCGTGATTTTAAGGATTGTTACTATATAATTCATCGACAGTAAGAACTCGGCCAAATAAGAGCCATCCTGAAATATCTAATTCGAATTTCTTAGAGCAAACCTGTCCTGTTATCCCGGTAATCAACGCTACTTTTCTCTTGACGCCATCACAACTCACACCGTTATTGTTCATTGCCAAGCTATTCAAAATTTGACTTGACCTTGAATTAGAGAGAAAACAAGTACAATGAAACACTTAAAGAACATTGTAATTGAAATATTAACTGTTTTTTCACAGATATATCGAACTTTCAAGAGATTAATAACCAGGTTAAGAATGCTCTGAGTGGCTATATTTTACACGAATGTGGCGGTATCTCAGTTAACCAGATTTTATTTAGAACGCTTCGACAGATAATGCTTCACACACGTTTTGAGATAAGGAGTTCCAGTCAATGGCAGTTAAAAAGAAAGTCGATGGTCATCTGACAACCAGTTTGTTCTGGACTTGTGAGCAATTTTGTATTGTCCTTGTAAATCCCCTATTTCAGCAAACAACGAAAGGGACTGTATACTAGTTGCGTATCATCAGCAATCTAAAAGCCGTAATTTACTTCAAGTCTTTAACTTTGACAAAGGAAGTATGTTTGGTGAAACTAGTCTCTCATCATTTGCAGATTTGTGACACTGTGCATCAACTTAGACGAGATTCTTTGGCTAAATTTTCTTCATGTCAAGTCTAGATCGTCTTTGTATAGACAAGACTAAAAGCTATAAGTATTGACCAGTGTACTCGGAAAACTTCGTGACTATTTCGCAGTTAGATGAAAAGCTTATCAATTCTCTCGACTTTTGGGTCATTGTTTGTCCGAACAACTAATAGCTCACCGTTATTCACCCTGTATGTATCTGCACTATAACGACTAATATGAATCATAATGCATTTTGAAGCATTTATCAGCAACTGTTGAGTACCGAACCATTCATATAATTCTTGCAGGTCATATTTATTCATTTACATTTAAGACCGATGAACCTAAGATGAACTTCATTTTCAGATCCGTATAAGAAAATTGTATGCACTCTTAGAGGTTGGAATGCTTAGCGATAACGTAAGTCTTCGTAAGTTAGCCGAATGTGATAAATTTCCCACTATTTCTGTAGGTACTCAGCATTCTAGTGCTTTTGCTGTAGTTTCTCCGTTATTACGTTGGTTTATGTTTTACGATCACTATATGGAACTGTGGTGTTTGAATGAACCAACGATTCCCTTGTATTGGTGACTGTTTTTATTTTGAATTCCAAATACAATACATTCGTTCGTGCTAATCTAATACTTCTTGCTTAAATTGCGTTATTGCTGGAATTACTAGTTCATACTGTAATTCAAATACTTCTGAATATTACATTTGCGTTGCGATGGAGCCTGTGATAGAACGGTTGTATATACATTCAGATTTTAATGCTTTTGAGGATTACATGGAGAGGCTCCAAATCTGAGCTATGACCGAGAATGATGATGAGGATTTAATATTGTTGCCCATTTTCTTACATTCATTGAAAAAGAAGCATACAGCTTATTAAAGACTTTGGCACTTCCAGACAAACCGATTTCACTCCCTTATGCAACACTCAAGGAACTACTGTTGGACCATGTGAAACATGCAAATTTCGGATGCGGTAAGGGGGGAAAATCCGATGAAATGACTCTCCATAACATCAGGAATCTCACTACTTTTTTACGTCGTCCCAGTCCAATATGCAATCAAAGGTATTCTAATAACAATTCACTAAATCGTGAAATAGTTCATGAAGATGAGCAAGTTTGTTCTATGGCAAGTTTCACCCATGTAATTCATATGTATTTCGTAATTCTGAATGCTTTGAGTGTGGTAAAACTGGACACATTCAGTCAGTTTGTATTACCATGGTTCATTTCGCTGAAAGTAATACTAAGGTGAATGTTTTTAATGATCGCTTCTGGAATCGGTATGACGTCACATAACAGTCCAGATTTGAGTGAAACCCAGAATCATAGTGAGATAAAAATTTCTAACCAAACGACTTCTTATAGGATTTCTCATGTTAATGTGCCAGATATGGTTTGTCATAATAATTCACTTATTTCTGGTGGAATTTCTTACAACCCTGAGGATAATTTGTTGAATGAGCCAAATCATGATCAAAAACCAGATTCACTTTTTGTGGATGCTGGTTTTTCTAATGATCCATTATTCTCTGATGAAACTCTTAATAAATTTGAGAGAAATATTTTAGAAAAATCAAATTCTGATGTCATATCAAATGTTATTCGTCATCACAGTGGATTTATGTCTAGATATATTCCTAATAAATATGACAAATGTGTTTCGAATTAGTCAAATTCTAGTCACATTTCTGATGTTATTGTATCAGATGGTGGATATTCTCATGAAAAATTTTTGTCCAGTAGGATCCCTAGTCAGTGGTATGATAAATCAGAGGGAATAGCAAGTTTCCCTGAAGCAATCAGAGAGCAAGTTCGCCCAGATATTGAGTTTGCACAGGTAGAGAATCTAAATCAAGTCCAAGATTATCCTAATGAGTATGAGGCAGATGCGTGTTTTCTATTTGATTGTTTCGCAGGCGAATCAAGCCCAAATGAATCACATGTGTTAAATACATATATTAATGCATATCTATATGTGCATTCTAATATGAAAAAACAAAAAGAATATGTAATATAACTTTTACGCAAGTCAAAGCCATGTGATGGAATGCCTCAAATTACGTGTTAGTGTGTATCCTCAAATACTCACATACAGTAATCGAAGCGCGAGATTTGAGATAATGCAGATTGGGATCGTCATATTGGTTATAACATTGCGATGTAGGGACCCAACATTATTTCGTGGGGGAGGATAATGTTGTAAAGTCTGTGATTCTAAATATCAGTGGTTTCACTATACAACCGGCATGATGATCGTATACAGTTCCAGGAATCAGGTGAGTATGTTCCAGTCTCGGTTGTTAATTCTAATACTAATGAGTGCATTCTAGATAATACACAGTCTATATCCAATACACTGCCGAACGAATGCAAAATGAATTAAGTAGAAGACGTACATTGGATTACGGACACTTACACGCCGATTTGAGCTGTAGAGGATGTGGTGTTTGAATGAACCAATGATTCCCCTGTATTGACGATTGCTTTTATTTTGAATTCCAAATACAATACATTCATTCGTGCTAATCTAATACTTCTTGATTAAATTGCATTATTGCTGGAATTACTAGTTCATACTATAATTAAAATACTTCAAATCAACACAGGAACATATGGATTGTAGGGTCTTTCATGTGGCCCATGTCTTTCAGTTCATTGTTTAAATCACGGATTTTGGAAAAGTATCCGCACATGTGCAATTCAAGAGTCAAATTTTTCATAAACTTCATACTTTTTTTAAGTATGGGGTTTTCATACAGAATGACTTCCACATAACTCAGAGATATCCTTCGAACTTCCAGTATTTTTTTTACTTTTACCGACTTCTTGTTATCCTTATAGAAGCTTTTTTTATAAGTCATATGTCTTCGCTTATTCCTCACTTTGTGCAATTACTGCTGTGTAAATTTCACCCAAACAATCATTTTTCAACAAGAAACTTGATAGACGTTATAAATATAGTTGTCTCTTAAGATTCTTTTCCTATCTAATGTAATAAATTGAAATATCTTCTCAATAAAATGGCTGGTGTATTGTTAAATGTGATGTTTACCAAAATAAATCAATAATTCATTCAGTAAAGAAAACAAATCCTATTTAGATATTGATTTCAGTTTGAACAGGAATCTAGAAGATCATTCATTTGACCCCGTATTGTCAACGGTTTTGTGAAATAAAGATAAACAACTAAAACTGTACTCATTTTTATGAAGAATTTATAAGAACACTGTATTACTTCTGGTCATAGGAATATGATAATGGAGTCACATTAAAAAATGGACACTGCGTGTAACTCGTAAAATATATATGGTTACACCCGATTCGCTGATCACAAACTATATTTCAGTAGCGACACTAGCCATTGACACTATTTTATGGCTACAAACAACAAAAGCGTCATCTAAAACTGGCATACAGGAATTTTAAAGGACAGCATGATTTATTGACAGTAAATGTCACTAATTCCTATTAGAATATGAGCAAGCTTAAAGGATTCACACAAAGTCAAATAAGGATGGGAGAAAAATTCGAAGGTCAGAAGGCCTGCATAGGAACTTTATTGTGACATTACTAATCAAATTTATGAATATAATAGTCCTATGTATCTATTTTGTTTTTATATCAAGTATGTAATCAAGCCAGTAAGGTAACATTCACTTTTCGAAAGTTATTACAAAGTAGGTCTACTCACTGCCTTATAAGAATAAATAACGACGTGACTTCGACATCATTCATGGAGAGTTTGCAATAATATTTCAGTCAGTCAAATGCATTGAATCCAGTCTATTCGCGTTATCGAATAGACACACTCATAAACATCATTCAGTAGTATCAAATCATGGTGTTGAATCTGATATATTCGTCATTTTTAAAGTAAGACTATCATAAATGTGTGACTAGATTGTCCTTCATGATATGCCTAATTCAAAGTGCACATAGACAACCTGTAGGTCCATCCGCAACATTGCTTTTTGCTCGATTACTGGCCAGTTTATGACTAATATACTATTTATTGGCCCGTCATGATTAAAAGTATTTGGAAATCTGAACTCAATCTCATTACTTCTACGTGTCTCTGGTAGTAAGATTGATCGCTCAAGTCTTCAATTTGCTAGGTGTTTTCAGTTTGGTAAAAGCGGACGTGCACATTTCAGAATTTGCTGGACTACACTCCTTTTTAAAAGCATGTTAAATGTTATGAAAGTTTTAGCATAAACATGTGTGGTGAACCTTTAAAAGAAAATTAGGGAAAAAATTATCCAGAGACAGTGATTGTCATGACATGCTACTAATAAATTAGATTGAGTTCTAACTTGTCTAATTTTAAACATATATATAATGTCAATGTGATTATTACTTGAGTCTCGATATGCAAACCAACTATATATCAAATTTAACAAAAATACACAGATTCTAACGTTTATTTTGCAGTAGACACTAAATAGAGCCTACTTAAGGTCTATTAGTGGAAAGGATAGGAATGTTTATTAGTCACTTTTCGAATACAGGCTTACGGAGACGTTTCACTGCATTGTAGTTGCATACTAGAT